TGAATTCGTGAAGCTGGACCTTATCAACAGACCTGAAGAAGGCTTTTTAGTAGCCGGTAGTCTCTTATTCACGGCTCAAGTTACTTTAGTATCAGAATGGGAGTTGGATAATCCTGTGGTAGACTACAACTCGAGAAAGGCAACCGGATATGTTGGTTTGAAGAATCAGGGAGCTACTTGTTATATGAATTCTTTGTTGCAGACTTTATTTCATTTAGGAGAATTTCGGAGGGCAGTATATCGCATGCCAGTGCTAAATAGTTCTTCAGATAACAGCCCTGATCTTTTAACTTATGCTCTACAACGAGTTTTTTATGATTTACAGTATTGTCCAACAGTAGTCAAGACGAAGAGATTGACGGATAGTTTTGGTTGGGATAATGCCGATGCTTTCACACAACATGATGTACAGGAGTTGAATCGAATCCTATGCGATGCTTTAGAGGAGAAGATGAAGAGAGAAGGGGGAGAAGATGGAGTGAACATCATTCAGCGACTATTTGAGGGCAAGATATTGAATTATATCAAATGTATTTATGTTCCATATGAAAGTTCTCATGTAGAGACATTTTATGATCTTTCCCTGAATGTGCGTGGTTGTGCTGATATATATGAATCCTTTGAAAAGTATACAGAAGTTGAAATCATGGATGGGGACAACAAATATCGTGCTGAAGGTTATCAAGAACTTCAGGCAGCCAAGAAAGGTGCGGTGTTTATTACACTTCCTCCTGTTTTACAGTTACATTTGAAGAGATTTGAGTACGACTTTGCACATGATATGATGGTGAAGATAAATGATCATTACAAGTTTTATGAGACGATAAACTTGAATTCCTTTGTGAGCCGAGAAGAGTCGATGGAACCATCCAATGTGGATTACACTTATGATTTGCATGCTGTTTTGGTTCATATGGGAGATATTTATGGTGGACATTATTATGCATTTATTCGTCCTCATTTATTACAAGACCCTGATGGTTGGTACAAGTTTGATGATGACTTGGTATTAAAGTCAGATAGACATCAAGCTATTGAAGAAAATTTTGGCGTTGGTGGACAAAAAATTGCACCGGAAGAGGAGAAAGAACAAGAGGAGAGAGACCGCAAGTCGAGAACGTTGAATGGATTAACTCCACCCGAGTTACAGCCACCACGTTCACGTCAGTCTATGGTGAGAAAATTTGCCAACGCATATATGTTGCAATATATTCGAAGAGATAAAATTCAAGACTATTTAACACCTCTTAAAGATGCTGAAGTACCTCATGAGTTGATTGAACGCCTTGAAAAGGAGAAGGAAGAAGAAGCTTTGAGAAAGAAGGAAAGAATGGAAGCCCATTTATACTGTACTTTTATGGTTGTCACTGATAATGACTTGTTTCAGTATCGAGGAACTGATTTGCTTCCACGCTCTGGGCTGTACAAGTTAAAGATGCGAAAAAGTACCACTTTGAAAGAACTCAAGGATTCTCTCTTTTCTCGTGGCCTTGTAAAGGATCCAACAATGATACGAATATGGCGCTGTTTCCAACGTGATAATGATACAATTCGTACACAGTTTCTATTGGCTGGAAGTAGAGAAAACAGCAGTGTTTTAGAGGATCCGGGTTATCAGAAACCGGATGGAACTTGGGAAGCTCGAGTATTGGATGAAAGCTTGGTCCCCATTTACGTTGAAGATTTGTCATTGAATGATGGAAGAAGTGATCGAATAAGAGCGCTTTCACTACCAAAGTCTTTGAATGTCGCTGTAGCTGCTGACGAAATGTTGTTATTCTTCAAGCTCTATACACCATTTCCAACTGCTGACTATCGCATTATTGGAAAACAAATTATGAAACAAAATGATGTTATTGCTGATGTATTGGCTGTGATAAAGGAATTGATGGGAGAAAGTAGTTTCAACCAAGAAATGTTACTCTTTGAAGAAATATCTCCAAGAAATGTTCAAAAATTGGATGACATATCTCGAACTTTGAAGAGTTATAAGATAGGTTGTGGAGATATCATAGTTATCCAACCAGTTCCTTTACCATTGGAACATGAACAAGTCAAACAGATAATCGACTCGGGTGCAAGATATTTGCCAACTGTATTGGACTTTTTCGAATATTTGATGAAACGAGTGGATGTGGAAATACGCAATATTCTCGAACCTCATAAGCCGGGAATTATTTTGGATATGATGGTAACTGATACTTATGAACAAATGAGAGATCGATTCTGTAAGTTAATACGGGCAAGTATTGACCCTGAATATATTCGATTCTTTCCAATGGATCCTTATCGAATGCAGCCACGTTCGTTTCCATTTACTTTTTCTGAAAGGTAAGTAACACACTCCAATATTTGAATATTCTTCTCATTCATTGGTTTAGAAATGAAAGTTTTCAAGACTGGATTCGTTCTTTTGCTGTTCGCACTCCACCTGGTAGAGTTTTGTATTATCAAAGACTGGCGTATGCAGCTGTACAATATGATGAAAAAGATGAATATACCGTTATTTATCGAGAAGACAGTGGTCGATGTTTGAAGGAAGATGAAAGTTTCACAGATATTCAGGAATGTCTCTTTTCCACTACAGACCAAGTTCTGAAGGAGAACAATTGTGGAAATGGAATCGAGTCTGGTGTGAAGAGTCATCGAACGAATATTTTGAGTATTTTATTGCCACATCACTCTAAAGTGTTGCACTTATTGCAGCGCATTCGAGAGCTTTTAAATCTTGCAATGGAAATAGAATTGCGACTGGTACTTGTACAGGATCATCGCATCGTTCGATATTGTTTACCGGATGAAGAAATACCGGAATGGCGTCCAGGAACTGGAATGATGATGAGAGTAGAGCCTTGCGAAAGAGAATTAGAGTAAGAATGAATCTTTTGAAAGTTGTAGGAAACTAAGCTGTGGTTATTTAGGGATAGCATTTGGGTATCGGTAGTTCACGTTACCAAGGACCATAAGCAGTTAGGAGGATATGATATCTTTGGAGTTCCATTTCTCTTACAAGTTCCTCAATCAGGTGATACAATAGAAGAACTGCGAAGACGATTGGCAAGAACTTTACAAGTGAAAGAAGAAGAAGCAGAATCTTGGAAGCTCCACGAAATTCAGGGCGATAATCTTCGTTCTTTACCTATGGATCCTGAAGTTGTTTGGATACCTCATTCTCCGGCCCAAGGCAATGTGTTTTCTTATTCTCTTGCTATTGAAAGAAAGAATACTTCGAAACGGCTACACTTGTCATCGAAAGCTTTTGGAGATAAACCTTTGAAGATACGTGGTTAAACAAGATTCCCAACTTGGTTCTTTCCCTAGTCCATTTCTTCTCGGAATAAATGGAAGGGTTGCTCAGTACCAGAAATTTCACAAGAATACAAAACTTCCCACTTTTGGGTACCCTGTAAACCATAGCAAATGAGTATTCACCGGGTAACTTTTGCGAGTGGACTTGCCAAGTGCTCTACAAAAGGGTCACCAACTACTGTCTTCCACTGTTGTTGTTGTTCCATATTATCTACGACTTGTAGATAAATCTGAAAAGTAGACGTACCTACTAACGAAGACGCTTGTCCAACATACAGCAACTTGTACAGTGCATTCCGAAACAATTCTTGCCACTTTAATATAACATCTACTGTGCAAACTTTTGGTGTTGTCTGTGGAAACTGCATTTGATAGTTGACTTGTTTGTTGGGATGCGATAAAGATATGCGGATGCTACGCAATAAACCCTAAAAAAGGAATGAAAATCAGTCAACTAAGAAACCAGCAATACCTACGTTTGCAAAGTAACTTTTGATATCGTGTAGAATGGGGTTTAGATAATCTGCTACGATTGGACTTTTACAAAAGTAAACTACAGCGCCCCATCTTTCACGACGTTCAAAGGTATCTACTGAGATGAGAAGGCAACGAAATTAGCAGAGGTAGAAACTACCTAATGGATATACTTGGTGTATATACAATATTGTGTGAATAAGACAACAGGTCAAGTCAAGCCACAAGTTATTCCAATCATCCATATATTAGTTTCCCAAAAGTTGTTCAGAGAATTGGTAAAGTGGATCGAAAACCATGCAAGGTATTCGTCGCGCCTTGTATGTGGTTGGTCAAATGATAAGAGAAACAGGTCAATCTATGGACCACTTAGGTATCCGAGTTCAAGGAGGATACAGTTATCGTGAACCACGTAAGTAGTTTCTTGTCCAGTTGTTAGACAGCAGGGTCCATTCGCTTTCCTAGTTAGCAGACATCGACAGTTGATGAACATCGGTCTAAAGAAACCTATTTTTGAAGACAACGTTTTCATTGCTCCCAACGCTTCGGTTATTGGATACGTTCAACTTGGGGCGAATAGTTCTGTTGGATATGGTGCTGTGTTGAGAGCTGATGCGGTTCCCATCGTAGTGGTTGGCGACAGTCATATTGGGGATGATGTGGTTATCCATTGTACTCGTATTCCAGAGGAACGTGGAAATCCAACGTTTATTGGGAAACAAGTGATTATAGGAGCTCGCAGTAGTATCTACAGTTGTACAATCTATGATAAAGTCTACATCGGTTGGGGTTCGTTGATCGAAGAAGATTGTGTTATTTCTACACGTTCGGTAATAGCGTCCGGTATGTGTGAATATATATACTAGTTGTTGGTCGTTGAATATCTTTAGGTTCTCGACTGGTAAAGGGAACCAGCGTTCCTTCCGATGAATTATGGGGTGGCAATCCCGCAAACTATATTCGCAAGTTGACCAATGAAGAGTTGAATAGTTTTGAGCAGCTGTTGAAGGAGCAACAACAATTGGCAGAGCTTCATGCAAAGATTTGTGGCAAGACTCCTGATCAAGTGGAAAGTGAAAGGCACATGGCAGCGGTAAGATCGAGGCTTCCTTTGGATTATTTAGAGTATATGAGAGAGATGGATACTTCGAAACAAGTTGCATTACCCAAAGTGGAATAGTCATCATTGGAAATCATATAAACTATTTTTTCTTACAAGATGTTGAAAGAGAATCATCATAGAATGGGATGGATCAGTTACTTGCCAAGTTGTTGGACTAGTCGTCGTTGTTTACATTCTGCTATTCAACAGTCCTTTAAAAAGTCATATGGGTTGAGTTGCCCTCGAGTGGTTTATATGGATATGCAGACGCAATCGTCTTCTTTCGATAGAGAGAGTGGAGAAGAGTGGAAAAGAGCTATGGAGAAAGCACAGTTACTTGCGCAATATAGTCAACAACTTCAACAGCAACTTTCTATAATAAGAGTGGAAAGTAAAGTAAGACAAAATTTATGATTCATTCTATTTGTGGTTGACCCATAAAGTCTGTTGATGGATGGGTGGAGGCACGATATTCAGGAAATCAGGTACCTTGTAGTGTACAAGTGGATGAGAAGTTGCTTTCATCAGGAGATATTCAAGCGGTAAGATGACTGTTAGGGTTTATTTAGGGTTTATGTTGTGTTGTAGATATCCAATTCTATTACGGAAGCAATAGTGGGAGCTTATGAAGCAAGTTTATCCTATTCACAGAATGAGATGGCTGTTGTAGCTAAGAGTATGGAAAGAAATAGAAGTTGACTTTGAGTTTGAATACAAGTGCGTTAGGTTTAGGGTTAAAACTGGAGGATGAATAAGAGAAAAAGAAACCGACTTTAGAAAACAATATCAAAGTTCTTCATGAGGCATAGTTGTTGTTATAGAATGGGTTATATTTTCAGTTGGTTTACAACTTGGGATTGTTGGGTAATCCAAAGTACTTAAAGCTTCAATAAGTCTTTCATAAATGGAGATGCCTTTAAGAAATATGTCTTTGGGAATATATTCATCGTTATCATGTAATAATACTGGAGTCGAATGAATAGGACTAGAATATTCATTACGATACGATTGTTTTCAACTCTAAGAAACTTACCTAAACCCGAAACAAGGAATTTTCCTTTCTCTCAAATATCGTGCATCTGTAGAAGCAGGAAATATTGCAGTTTTATAAGAAATGGATAATTCATCGAAAACTTGTTGTATCACTTGATAGTAGGGATTCTCCACGGGATCTTTGCTAGTTACTTGAGGAATATCAACTCTGTGAATAAACTTGTAGTAATAATGACTGCAATTTCCAATCCAGTTATTCATGATTTCATCTTCAGTACATGACAACCAATCGGATATGATTCGAGTCATTTCTTGGCTATGTTGTTTCGTGGGAGGTACTCGAATATCCAAACCTAACTCTGCTATTCCTGGGACCATATTCATCACATAACTATGATCGTCTTTGGTTACTCCGGAGCGAAGATAAACAAGATTGATTCCAATAATATCTCCCAAAGGGATTCCTTGACTCACTTGCTGCTCTTGTTGCTTTCGAAATTCGAGAACTTTTTGTTCTATCTTGTATAAGTGTTGGATGGCTGTATGATTGGGTAATGTTGCTCCATGAGCAGGTTGATCTGTAGCTCCAATAGTAAGCCACCAAGGTTGTCGCTCACCATAATACAACCACATAAAAGATTGTGGATTGGCTAAACCTTCATCCAATTCTAAGCTAATGTTCCACTTTTGAAATTCTTTGGACTCTACAAACACTCCCATTCCTTGAGCACCTCCAATCTCTTCGTCAGGAACTACCGAAAGCAAAACAGTTCGGTCAGGTTTCCAACCTCGTCGGATGAGATGCCTTAATGCTTCCAAGTACTGGATGGTAACACTCTATCAACCACGTGAGATGAACTTCTTGAAAGATGATGCATAATACCAACCTTCATATCTTGAGTACCTCTACCATAGACTTTATCTCGTTCGATGGTAGCAGCAAATGGATCTTGACTCCAACCACCAGGTTCTACAGGCACCACATCCATATGTGAATTGAGTAAAATAGTCGATCCATCGCCATTCGATCCTAATAACCAAGCCAGGAATATGGGTTTCCCTGGTACAAGTTCCAAAGACTGGGTCTAAATAAGATCATACAAATATATATATATATATAAACTCTCTAGAAGATTATAATAAATAACACTCACCTCTAAACCTATTTCAGTAGCCAATTGTGTTAAAAACTCGACTGCACTAGCATAGTCAGGATGAGGTTGATCTGTACGTACTATTTATGGAGTTCAAGGAAAAGAGTCAACCATTGTACAAAACACTTACTTTGAATATATTTTTGCAAGTTGGATATTGCCTCATCTTCACTTTCTTGAGCATTTGTTCTTAAGAATAGACAAAAAGTCAACCCTATGACTAGCCCTCCTACTAAGGAATACGACCTTTTCATGTGTGGACAAGTAAATAATGGCAAGTTGTAGTATGGATAAGAAAACATAGTCTCATCTAATCTTTTCTCACAACTGATCTATTTTTAGAATAAAAGTTTCAGTTGTTGAGAAAAGTGAATGGAAAAGTTGTTCATGGGCAGTTGTTCGTAGACCATGGACTCGTTGGCGTTTCATTCTGGTTTCGCAGTTGCAAGTATCAACAACCTACAAAGAAACGGTAATCAATTATGCATCAGTAACTACCTAAAGAGGTCGATAGGCATATTTCAGTTCGCTTATGACAACTGCAACCATCCAGTGACTAGAATGGTCTCCTCCTCCCAAGATGCTTTCCACGAGAAATCATTTCGAAGCAAAACTTTCAAGTTGAAAAACAATAGAAAGACGGAATTAGATCCATTTTGGGAAAACTTTGACAACTTATCCAACCAACTTGCGGACTTTTGTGCTATCCATAACCATCCTGCTGGAATATTGCCAACCAATGTATATTTGAGAGCAAAAGGTGCTCATGTACTAGTCGAAGCAATAGCAAAACATGGAGGGCCTGAACCAGTTTCACAAAAGTTGGGTTGGAAACTACCAAAACAAAGCAAGTGGACCCCTCTGCGGTCTGTGTTACGTGACCGAGAATTGGAGAGTCTCACTGAACAAGTTGTTGAACTCATAAAAGAAAGAAACTTGGCAAAGGATGAAATGCCCTCGAGAGAAACTATCAGAAAATACAAACCTGTTCTTATGAATAAGATTTGTGCTGGAAGATCACATTATGAGAAGATAGCGCAACGATTGGGTTTTGAAATACCAAAGAAGACCAGAAAGAAAAAACAAGTTTCTTATGTTGGATACAAGTCACAAGAGAAGAGAATCTATGGTTACTGGACAGATATGAATAATATTGCCAAAGAATTGGAAAACTTTTGTAAGCAGAATGATTTCAATCAACGCATCGTTCCTGCAAGTCAACAACTTTTGGCCAAAGGAAGAAGTGATATTTGGTATGCAATTGCACGTAAAGGAGGGGAAAGGCTGGTTGCTTCACATTTGGGTTTACATTGTAGTCAAGATTGGAGGTTCGTTAGTATTTACATGATTTCATTGATGAATACTAACTTGTTTTCAGATATTTCGAAGAGTTTCTTTATTTAGTGAAAGAAATTCATCAGTTTTGTCTACAATATAATTGTATAGGAATGATGCCTTCTTATCGTGTGTTTCGACTAGCAGGAAGGCCTGATTTGGCTACTTTGATTCTTCGTCATGGTGGCAATATAGCACTTGGTGCACGTTTGGGTTTAAAGTTGCATCAAAATACTGGAAAGAATCGTCTATTGAATTGGGGTCCCTTTTCTATTGAATTTGCGATTGAATGTTTGGAGTTTACAAAGCAACATTGCAGTGTGGTGGAAGGAATGATTCGAATTCCATCAAAGCAGTGTATGTTGTTGAATGGAAGAGAGGACCTGGTTGATACAGTGGAGAGTTATGGAGGTATTGTACAAGTTGCTCGACGATTGGGTTTGGCTCCTCCCAGTGATGAAGACTGGGTATGGCTTTCTGTAGATTCCATTTCAGAAAACAACAGCATGGAGAAGGGTTTGTATATATCAGAATAAGAGAGAGAGAGTGTGTGTGTGTGTGTGTGTGTAATAGTGTTATACCTCTCCAGATATATAATCTTATACTTTGTGGGAAAACAAAGATAAGAAATATCTCGTGGAGGTATATTTGTTGAGAAGTAAAACAAATTATTTGTGTGCAAATCATCAAAATGTTTACCTAAGAATGGAAGGACTCGGCACTTTGTGCAACATTCTCCATCATTTCACGTTCTTCCAAGTCTATTCTACACATATCCTCCGCAATGATACATCTTCCTCGCTTTGCAAAACCAGCCATTGCTTCTCTTATCATTTGTTGTTCGGTATCTGAAGACCAAATTCGAGGACTAATATGTGTAAGTGCTAAAAACTCCGCATTCACTTGTCTCGCAAATACACCAGCCATCTTTGCTGTGGAATGACCACTTTGAATAGATTCTTCTAAACAATCTTCTAAATTGGTTGCATCATGTATCAATAGAGAAGACTGTTCGGCTAAAGATGCCAATGAACTGGAATCACTAGTATCCACTGAAATAGTCACCTTCCTTCCAGGACGTACTCCACTTATCACTTGATTCGGTTTCACTACACGACCACCAGAAAGAGTTACTGTCTGACCTTGTGTTAACCTTCTGCGAACAGAGCCACGTGGTACTCCAAGTTCTTGAAACTTTTCTTCACTAAAATGTATTTTGGAAGACTCTTCAAACACATAACCGAAGCAAGGAACGGGATGAACCAAACGACTGGCCGTCAGAGTAAACCCTTTTGTATTCACTACTCTATAAATACCTTTGTCATCGGGGTAAATATCCGTATCTTCTACTTCCGTTCTATACGGTGGCAAAGGCTGTCTAAAAGGTTGATTTCTTTTGGTTTGTTCAGGTAAAATAAGCTCATGAGTATGGATAGGAACTGGAACTCGAACTCTAGTAGATAACAAAGCACTTCTTAAAAAGTAGCGGATACCTTCTGGTCCATAAATATGCAGAGGTTTACTTCTATCTGCTGCACTTATAACTAGCGAAGGAAGACCCAGAATGTGGTCGGCATGCAAATGAGTTATGAAAATATAATCGAGATTACAAGGTGCCGTACCACTTGACCCAATAAGTTGTCGTGTATATGTAGGAATGTATTCTTACCATTCAAACAGTCGGCGACAAGTACCTTCACCGGCATCGAACAATAACAAATACGCCGGTGTATTATGAAAACATAATTTCAAACCTATCGAAGTGAACCATCGATGAAAGGCATAACCGGAAGATGAAGTTCCATAAAAGTGAACACTCAAAGTTTCTGTGGGAACTCCGTCGGCTGATCGAGCTCCTCCTGCTATGACTTTGCCCTTCCAGTTGGGGTCCACAGAAAATACTTTGCTTCTGTGTGTTCTTCCAGGAGAACTGTGAGTTGGCTTGAGTGGGTTGGTTTTGGGTACAACTCCAGTGGAATAGTTGAGTCTAGCTACAACTTGCCCAACTATCCAACTACTAGTGCTTCTCCACATATCCTCCTCCTCTTCCCAACCAACGACATGCAAGTCAGTCTGGATAAGGTTACACGCAATAAGGTACAACAGAAAAAGAAAAACCTTTATATAATGTTAACACAGCTAGTTAACTATTCAAAGATAAGCTATCCGTCAATCCTTGAGTTGAGGAAGATGAGGCTGGTTTCAGTTTTTCAAAATCCCGTTTAGCGTCACTATAAGTCATTCCAAAACCTATACCACCTCCAAAACTAGAAACTGCAACTCTGGTTAACGGCGACCCTTCAAACAAACGTTAGTCCTGGAGTACGCGAACTCGAGAGAGATATTCTCACGGAACAGTATCAGCGCCGTCACAGAACCTAAAAGTACTCCATAAGCAACTCTTTTGATGCCCAGTTCCAAGGTTCTATCCCAAGTTTCAGCTACTTTCAACTCACTCTCAACCATAAGTAAAATGAGTCTATTAACCAATGTCCGTCCACACCCACCAATGTGGAAATGAGTATATATAACGCTTCGAGTGGATATTTCGTATATATATATATATATATATGTATATAAATATATAATATATAAAGAGAGAGAGAGAGAGAGAGAGAGAAAGATAAATCGATGGGACTACAGTATTTTCAACCTTGATAGAAAGAAGGAAACTTGGAATTCTCTCTCTCTGTGTATATAGCAATATACATATATATATATATAAATATATTTGTGATCCGAAGAGAAATGGGAATTTCGCTTCATTTACATCTCAACTTTTGAGAGTTTTAGAAAATGGGTTCCAATGAAACTTTACCAGATAACTTTGGAAAAGGTGGTTGGAAGATATGTTTCAAGATAGAACCACCTGCTACTTTGGGAAACGGAATGCTTAAGATAAGTTTTCACTCAGACTATAACCGCAAACCACATCCGGATGATATTGTGGAAGAAACTATAAAAGATATGTGGTATGTGTAGAATAACTATGGAATAGTTGTATACTGATTAGAAATAGGAAAAGAAGAAAAGAAGTAAACCCGAAAATGTGGAATGCTCTCAAGTTTCGTGTAGACAGTTATTCCACTTTTCACGCACAAGGTGCTAGTGTAGTCAAGTTAAACTTGGGTTTAACTGATTATGCTTCTTACCAGGGCTCAGGTAGTTTGGGTAAGGAACAGTTTCTCGTTACTAACTGATACTTTATACTTATGGTGGTGATGAACTTTAGCGAGTCCTCTTACTTTTTTCCAATCTCCTGAAGAAGGAGCACCAGAACGACACCTTCCTTTGTCACTTGGAAACGCAGGAATAGTTTTAACTAGTGACAACTTTATAATATTGTTAGAACGAAGTGAACAAGTAGGTGAAGGAGTTGGGAGATGGGTTCTACCGGGAGGACATCCAGAACCAAGTCATGTAAATATACCGGATAGTTATCTTACTCAGTCTTATGAAGGAACTAGAGACATGTGCCTAACCATTGAAAGAGAACTATATAACAGTATTTTAATGGAAATAACTGAAGAAGTAGGACTCAGGTCGAGTGAGTTGTTCACGTTGCAATTGTTAGGAATGGTTCAACGAGAAAGAGACAAAAGACCCGTACTTGTAGGTCATACCAGAACAACATTATCCAAGTCAGAGGTATTGTATTGTAAGATGGTATTATTCTATTTCTATTCTAATCAGTTATAGATGGAAGCCCGTTTTTGTTGTCAACGTATTCATACGGAAGCATGTCGAATATTATTCTGTGACATTCGGCAAGTAGAAACATTCTTTCAGGAGAATGAACAGATAATGCCGGAACATCGTGGAGCATTGCAACTGTATTTCGAGTCTTCTGTTTGTCAACAAGATTGGAAACTTTGTAAAGAATAAAAAATGGAAAATTTTCCCTCGTAGGAATTTTGTGGAATTACTTGATGAAAAAGTTGTTATTTTTCATATGTGGAGCGCCAGGTGTGGATAAATTGTCATCAATAAGAATACCGCAACAAGGTTTTACACTACCCGATAATTGTGACAGCGAAGATTACCTGAACCGTTGTCGCTTTTCTCCGTATTATTTCTTTCTTCGACACCCAGAAGCAGGCTTAGGTCGCTTTTGTAAACAAGTCAGTCAACACCTCTCAGAATATCAAGTCGCTATTGTAGAAGATGAACAAGGTGACATACCATTATTGGAAGAAATTCACAGAGCTATAAATAGAAGGTTGAATCAAGAAGAACAAGTGGAAGTGTTGGTTAACAAGTTTTTATTGATGGTAACAGACTTTGGTATTTGTAGAGAGGGAATTTTGAAACAATTGGCAAGTTCAATAAGAAAGTTTGAACTGACAAAGGACGGTTTGGCTAAAACAGCCCTTTCGAAGCAAATCTTGTGTCAGCAGCTCGCTCAACAAGTATACGCAGATTCGGTTTTCATATCTGCCTGGGAAACGAGTGAAAATCGCGAAGCAATCATTTCCTTGACAGAGCAAAATGGTATGTTTGAATATGGACGGAAACTATTCTTGGATAGTAATGTGAATAACAATATGTGATAAATAGGATACAAAAGTATATCAGTGCATCAAACACAAATATGCAACCCAGTTGAGGAGATCCATAATAATGAAGAGCCAACTGCCTTGTTCTTATTTCTCTCAGTTTCCATTAGTAATGCCATTGCAAGTTTGAAGGAAGAACAACTCCACAAGTTGAGAGAATGGATTCCACGGTCCGTGTGATATTGATGGAAATGATATATTCAACTAAGCTTTTTCGACTAGGGAAAGTATTTTGGTTGTGCTGGGCAAGTTTTACTCGGAAACGACAACGAGTATATCAAATTTTTCAAAGTCTTTGGCTCATCGATTGAACCGAACTGTTGTGGGCATACAGTTATGGGATGGATTATGGAAGCACTCTGATGATCTATTCAAAGCTGGATATATTCTGATGTCATCGCTTATGTCTTGTCCATCGATTGCGCTTGTCCTTTTTGAACCAGGTCCGAATGAGATGATGGTAGATTCTTCTGTCATCCCTGCCGTTGATTTGGAAAGTATTATGCGAGGAAGAGAAGTAGAAAGTGTATGGCAACTTGTATTGCGCAAATGGAATATGGAGAAAAGAAATGTTGTTTGGGAATGTCAAGGACTGTACAAGTTCTTGGACAATTGGTATTTAGAGCATCAAGGAAAGTGCCTTTTAGAAATATGCGTTGTTGAAACTTGCCATTCTCTTGTAGATTCACAACGAGAGAGTCAGCAAACAGGACAATGCATTTCATCAGCAACTCTAAAAAACGAAGCTCTTTTGAATATCAATCCTGCTTGCTGCAATTTATTAGACAAGGAAAGCATTCGACATTATGCCAGTTTCCATCCCAAGTTGGTAGAAAATGCTGAACAGTTGTTGGAGAAGCACCGTATAGAAGTATTATTTCCATCATCCAATGAAGTGGAATGTATTATGGAAGCCAGTCAAACGGGAAGTTATTATCACGTTTCATTTTCTACACAAGACGATCCTCCAGCTTTGAAGGAAACACAATGTGATTGTCCCTACTTTGCTAAACAAAAGAAAATGCAAAAGAATAGATTCTTATTTTGCAAGCATATTTTAGCTTTGATGATTCGGGTTCACCAGTTACTCACAGAACAACCTATGAATGAAGAAGTAGTTGACACTTGGAAGGAAGAAAAGAAGGAGGACGCTATGGAAACTTACCAAGAAACGAAAGGAAATGAAACACAAGACAATACTTTGTTCACATTTTCCAATGTCGATGATGATGTTGACAAGAATGAGTATAGCAACGACACTCCAGAATTGTGGACAGTGAAGCCAAATGCACCTAGAAGACTACCAGCTTTTGTGAATCATATTTCTGTTACTACAAATGCAGCACAACCCAGGAGAAAGAAACCATTGAAAAGAAAAATTTCTCCAGTTGAAACCAGCGAATCCGAATCGGAATCCCACAGTTGGGAAGCAAGTGGTGTGGACAATAAAACTATTCTAGTAAATGAAGCAGCTCAAGCACATAAGATGACAAGTCAACAAGGCGATGAGATGGAACAATCCAGTTATCCATCCAAGTCGACATCGAATGCTTTTTACAAATATTTACTATTCGGAGATGAGTCGGATGAAGAGGAAGCATCGATTCCGCCCATTCTTTCTCAGGAAACAAGTCTTTCAACGGAATCCTGGAATGCTTCCAAAGAGTCAAATGCGATGTTGATGGATGGATCATCAATCTTTGGTAAAACTGAGAACACTTTAGATATTCCATCATCAAGCAAGGAAAATAATGCTTCCTATGAAACACAGCCTATTCAAAATGTTGATGATAGTTTGGAAGTGTTTCTTCAAATGGATAAAAAACCCAAGCGAAGTATTCGAGACAAACTCGCAGGTCTACAAGAATAAACTTTCATAAAGGTTTATTGATTGCCAACACACACATATATGATATATATATATATATATATATGTTTTAAGTACGACCCAGTGGAGGAAATTCATGAATATAGGAAGAAGGATCATTCGATAAATAGATGGATGTATCATTTGAAGTTGTTGAAACTGAGTTATTGGGTACATAACCCACTATTTGTGAAGAATCACCAAAACTGCAATGTAACTGATAACTAGGAAACTGTAGAGCGGGATAGGAGGACGCAAAAGAATGTTCATGTAAGTTATTTCGAGGCACTCTTGAAGAAGAAGACTCTGCGCCTTTCATTGGTCCGTAGGATACATTCTGAACAACACACAATACATATATTTAGATAAAATTAGTTTCAATACTTACCTGAGTTTTACTAGTCAATGTGTATTGATTGTTGTTCATATAGTTACCGATTACAGCTGGTCTCAATTGAGTTGAATGAAGATACGATTGTGTTAAATTGGGATTTCCATTAATATGAGAGCAAGTCGATGAAGGTATCGTTGCACCCCATCTGCTATAGCTCCTATCAAAATCAGGATCATAAACGTCATTTTCAGTTTCCTTCTCCTCAACAAAAGCCACCCAATTATCTTCCATAACTGAAGTATCTTGGGCTTCTACAAGCGGTTGCAAAGTATGAGTTGGAGTACTTGGAGAGTGAAGCCACTTCGTTTCTTTTGAAATATCCGTTTTTGTGCCAATTTGTTGTGTTTGAGAACAATGAGAAGCAACGCTATTGTTGAATATTCTTGCTCTGGCTTTCTGATATTCTTCTTCTGTTACTCCACGAATAACGTTTCCTATTCCTGCCTCGAGTCCAACACAAGAAGACGAACGATGAAAAGTTCGCTGTGCTCCTTGTTGTACATTACGCTTCAAGAAAAAGGGCTTGCTGTTAGTATTCTCTGTTGGAGTTTGCCGTGATTCATTTGCAACTTCCCTCTTTGCAACTGAATTTTCCCAATCTGACAACAAAACATTCGGTATCTTGGTTTGTTCTGTCTTTAACAAAACTAGACGCCTCTTGTCACTATTAGTTCCATTATTCTCTGCTGCCAACAACAAGTTATCCAAACCATAGCGTAAAGCGACTCTATGAATGATTCTTCTTTGGAACGCAGTCTTAGGGGGAAACTCCAAACGTCGCAACTCACTATTCTTTACAAACTGGTTAAGGGTTTCCTCCAGCTTTTTCAAAGTATCGCGGTTCTTATTATTTTGCAAAACTGAAAGAATAAAAGGGTCTAAAAACTCTTCTGATGTTGTGTGGTCCATTTAGATACTTTGTTGTAGCTTTCACTCAGATTCAATAACTGGACAAGTTCAACTTTGCCATAGTGGGTTTGTAACAACTGATGATTGCGATTGGCGGCCGAAGAGGAAATGTGAAGAAGCAGAAGAGAGGAGTGGGAAGAGGAGAGAGTTGAGGGGAATTATATATATATATATATATATACAGATCGAAAGGTTATTACTGAGTAGTGGATATGACTGGAAGAATATTTTTTGCTATAATGATAAATGGATTTATCGCTCAACTTCAACTGATGGGTCTCATATAAGCTTTTGACCAGTCCGAATTTCTTTTTTTGACATATACTCGTAGGAGCCGGTTGGATATCCAGAATGGGAAAGACCTCTGAGTTTCAGTAGGAAAGCAATTGTCAGTTGGAAAACAACATAGTTAGTTGTATGTATAAAGGGCCAGAAAATGAAATTGTGAGAACACAAGGTAGACACAGTTTAGTGTCGACTTCTTTTCCATACCGAACTTTGCACTTCAAAAGGTGTCCGCTTTTTATTTCTGTTTGCGTGGCTTTTTATTTTTTATAGTCAGTTTCTCCAAATCTCGCTTTGCTTCTCCAACTGGAAAATTGGCAAGCTCATAATAATGAGAAGCATACTCTAATAACCATTCTCCTTTGATTTCCGTCACCGTTCGAATATACTTTCTACTAGTCAAAACAAACTCATTGTATACAACCCACGTAGGTTTATGGTCAAGACCATGTGACGGATGTAAACTAACAACCTATCAAGTGTTGGTTTGAATCGATACTCAAAACACACAAATTGCTTACCTGATTGTCCTTGACAGTTAAATAATAGCCGTTGGACTCCAAATGCGCAACTTGCATAAAAAAGCCATTCACCAAAGCCTTTCTAATATTCACATAAAACTCTGCAGACTGAAAATCGGTTGAAACCAAAGGCAAACTCAATTTGTTCATCATTGCTTCCAACTGACTGCGAACGTTGTCTGCTGATTTTAAGGAACGATAGTTGAGATAGTTCTGATAGCACCAATTGGGGTCTTCTTCATTGTGCTTATATGCATAATAAACATTCAATAAAGTGAGATGATCTCCTTCGGAATGTGTAAATCTCGCCTTTGCAGCATCTGCTTTCTTTTGGGCATCTCGAGGTCTCAAAAAACAGTTGGGTACTGAAAGCATCGCTACAATACTCAATATTTCATTAGAACATTGAAATTGTGGAGAGACAATGAGCATTTTCGATAGTTGAGGATCTAACGGAAACTCTGCCATTAGTTTACCAAGTTGTGTCAATTCACCTTCATCATCTAAAGCACCAAGATAGTTCAACAATTCTAAAGCACGCATAAGTGTTTCTGGTGCAGGTGGATCCATAAAGTCAAAGTGAACGAGGTCGTCCACACCAAGTTTTTTCAAAGTCAAGACAACATTAGCCAAGTTGGAGCGGAGAATTTCTGGATAAGTTGTTTCAATAAGGTCTTTCTTAAAAGTCTGTTCCGTAAATAGACGAAAACATTTTCCCGGTCGTGTACGACCTGCTCTTCCAGCTCTTTGTTTTGCCGATGCCTTTGAAATCGGCGAAACCAACAAAGACTCTACACGAACTCTGGGATCGTATATCTATACATTATTCATAAGCCATTCTATTACAAATAACCCATTACCAACCTTTTGTTTAGAAAAACCTGGATCAATAACGTATACAACACCATCTATAGTAAGTGAAGTCTCTGCAATGTTGGTTGCCACGATAATCTTTCGTCCATTGGAAGGAGGTGGTTCAAAAACTCTTTGTTGAGCATTGGGAGGTAAAGAAGAATAAAGTGGAAGAATTCTAAAAGGCTTTGAATCCTTAACTAGTAAAGGAATATCATGGTTCAATCTTTTGCAAGTCTCTTCAATTTCCTCTTCTCCTGTAAGAAATAGTAAAATGTCTCCCAACGGTTCATTGGCATGTATTTGAATAACTGTACGAATAGCAGCTTCCAAATAGTCTTTTTCTGGTTCCGGTGTATAATACACTTCTACGGGATATACTCTTCCAGGAACATTGATAAGAGGAACTGTAAGTGGGTGTTCTGGGTCTCTCGAAAAATAATCTTGAAACTTCCCAGCGTCAAGAGTTGCACTCATAATTACCAACTTTAGGTCTTCTCTCTGTCTAACTACGGTCTTCAGAATTCCCATTAAAATATCGGTAGCCAAAGTACGCTCATGTGCCTCATCCAATATGATCAAGGAATATCTGCTCAATTGAGGATCAGACATAGCCTCTCTCAACAACATTCCGTCTGTGGCGTATTTCAAAATGGTTTTGGGAGAAGTGACATCTTCAAAACGGATAGTATAACCAACAGCCTCTCCAAGAGGGACATCCAGTTCGTCAGCAACTCGTTGAGAGACTGACATAGCTGCTACTCTCCGTGGTTGTGTGCATACTATCATTTTGTTCTTCTCCAAATGGCCTTCTTCAAGAAAAAATTGAGGTACTTGTGTAGTCTTTCCCGAACCCGTATCTCCTACCAAGACAACCACTTTGCTCTCCTTCACAAGTTGAAGAAACTCTTCTCTTTTATCATATATAGGCAACGCTTTTCTGACTTTCAATAACTCATAATACTTTTCAGAATATGGTTTTCCTGTATACTTGTTTAAAGAAGAAGACTCGATATGATTATCTTCCAACAAGTGTGCAAGATAAGGGTTGGTCTTTTCAGACTTACCCATTTACAACAAACGAGTGGATGAACGTCAAACTTTATTTAAACGGCTAAGAATCGAAAACCTTTTTTGCTTTTCTTTTTCAGTTCTGCTTTACGTTGTTTTTCCTCCAATTTCTTTTGAGCACTTCTACTTAGAGAAAAAACGTCGGAAGTATCTTGTTGTTTCTTTTCTTGCTTCTCTTTTAATATTTGTTCTTTTCTTTTCTTTTCCTTTGCCTTCTCTTCATCTTCCTTTACCATATTCCGAAGTTTCTCAGAACGTTGTAATACTCCAGCAGATAACTGTACGGTACTTATATAGTCACTAAGCCAACAAGCAAGCAGAAGAAAATCTTGGACACCTGTAAAGTCGCTGGGTATGATGGACTGAATATCTATCCACTTTTTAAGTGTTTCATTCTCGTTGGATGACTTTGAAGTTTCTTCACAAATATATATGCGTTGAATAAGATGTCCATATTTGTTCAATATTTGCAGCATTCTATCTTCTGCTAATATTTTTCTAGCAAGTTCTAAACTCTCTGAGTAAAGTTCGAACTTTCCAAGAGCCGGTACGTTCAAAGTTGAGAGGTATGAAGAGAAGGACTCACAATAGTTTTCCACGTCCTTGTGTTCCGAGCGAAATCTTTTTGCTCCCCTAGCTTTGATCAAACAAAAAGTCAAGGGAGCAAGATTCTCCTTACTCAGGGACACACGAATATGCAATCGGTCTCTCATATTCCATCTGTTCTCAAAAGGACGTCGGAAATAGAAAAATGGATCCTGTCTATGTTTCAGTTCTAGTTCACACTTTAGCCAAGTTATGTATCTACGACCAGAGGCGTAAAAGATATAGTTTGCGATGCCATCCTGGTACAGTAACTTCCCATCTTTATCCACACCCGTCCAAGCAAATTGAGAAGAAGCACAAGAACTTAATAGTTGACCTAATTGCTTGGATATGTTAAGATTTCTCCAGGTACCCAAACCGAAGAATAGCAAATACACCAACGCTATTCCTGCATAGAAGGCATCCACCGCTGTCAAAGGAGCTCGTTTCCACTGTTGACGAGGAATTGCGGTTTCATTCTTACTCTGTTGCGTTAAAGTTTCTGTTTTTGGCGATTCTATGGACTCTCCACTCGAAGTAGCAACAAGCATCCATATAAGCAGTCCTAGAAACAAGTTGGCTTTCACAAACTGGATCATTTCAGTTGGCCAATTGTGTGTTGATGACTCATCGACTTTATCGTTATGACTTGAGTCCGGAGCAATGGATCATTGTATTTGTCTTTATTAGCTCAGTCGTATGTGCGCTATCTCTTGTGATCATAACGAACAACAATTTTGTGAATGTAGGCTGTGGTGTTATTACTTGCTATTTTTGTACGCAACGTCCTTCGTTGGAAAGTTATTCGTGGTCTAAAAGACGGAATATTTTATTCCAACCGTTATTATTTGAATAATTTATCCAAGGTGAGATAGATATTAACTTGTCGAGTCCTATTCCAATTCTTTGAATAGTCTGCGAGAAAGTTGATATTAACGGAAGCAGAAAGAGAAAGACAACTTCGAGTTGTTCCTCAAGTAGCTGCAGACTTTGGGTGGGGATCACCAGGTTTGTCGTTGTCGCTTAAAAGATTGTGTTGTAAACTCTTCTAGGAACGGAATTGGAAGGTGTTCACTTTAAGACTTCAATTGCCAAGTCTTACAAGGTAATAGAGGAAGCAGCAAAAGCAAGGATACCATCGTTAGAGTTGAAACTTGGAAAAACAGTCTCCAACTATATTTCAGAAATTCAAGAATATTTTCCAACTTTGCCTACAAATACTTGCGAACAGTATATTGACTTTTATGAGCGAGCTTGTTTCACGAAGGAACAGTTCACAGCTGCCGAGTATCGTCGCTTTGTCAATACGGTGCTTCTTCTTATTCAGCATATAGAACATGATCCTTGCGTTGGATAAAACTATGGATTACTATGTTGTATTATTCATCAACCCACATGATAGAATGATGTCTATCGCATTGTTATACATACAGCATAGAGTGGACACGTGTTGGAACTCTCAAGTAAACACTTTGTCTCTCACAAAGGATGGAATTGTTGTAAGAATAAAATTGCCATCGTATCCAACTGAAGCAATCGTAAACTCATTAGAGATACCCCATTCTAGTGCATGTATTGTATCTGAATGATATTCTAACGATGAACATTTCACATAAGATGGCTGTTGTCTTGCACTTCCTTTGGAAACTGTGGGGGACATAGAAAATAATTCTTTCATATCCCAAATATGAATAATGGCATCCGTTCCACATGTTGCAACCAATCTTTCGTGTGACCAGTTACTTTTCAAGTCCAATATAGCGTGATGATGAGCAGTCCATGAAAGAATGGGTTCCAATGAAGAACGCGTATCCCATACAACAACTTTACCAGATGAAAAACCACCCATCACAAAATGTTGTCGAAGTGGAAAATAGCGAAGAGCAAGTATCTGACCAAAATTTGGAAAAACTCCAAAATCAGCACAAGTATCTTGCGAACGAATATCCCACAACTGTACACTCTGGCCTCGTCCAATAATAAGATGGTTGCCACTATTGTCAGGTTGCCAATCACCACAAGGTTTCCAATAACAACAATCCTGTGGAGTAAGATGAAAATTTTGGTTCAAGTCCTTTTCATAATCATGAATCAATAACTTGTCACACGAAACCGTTGCTATCTGACAACAGGTACTGCGGTTTGCAATCAGATTCACATAACTCAAAGAAGTTTCCAAATTATCCAAACGTATACAACTTTTGGTTTGCAACTTTTCTGAAATAATATTGTCTCTGTCATCCTTCGATAAGACGTTGTAAATATTTAACCAAAGTGTTCCTGGATGGGTACTCTCTTCTACTATACTAGCGAATAATCCATCCTTCAGGGCTACTAGATTACTAGACGAGGCATCCCATCTTGTTTCTAGCAAACACTGAGACTCAACAGTGTCGACCAACTGATTGACACGATAAAGCGAAACGTGTGTTCTACCTCTTGGCTCGTCTCCTGCTAAAACAAAATAATCGTTGTAATCCTCCTCGTTTGTTCCAAGTGCTATCAAACTCTTCAAAGGACTATTTGAGCGGTATATGACAGGTGTCGATAACTCGTCGTATTTGGACATTGTCAAGTTGTTTACTTTTAGCAAAATGAGCCTTACGAAATCAAAAAGAATATTTATAAATTCAATCTTTTGTGGGCAGCTTCGGCATGTGCAGTTAAACCCTCCGATTTTGCAATAATTGCTGCCTTCTTTGCCATATCCATAGAAGTATGATGATCCAATCCAACTAGACTAATAATCTTCACAAAATCCAGAACATTTAAAGGACTAGAATATCTAGCACTACCACCAGTAGGCATGACATGAGATGGACCTGCCACATAATCTCCCAATACTTCACAAGAAGCATCTCCCACAAAAACACCACCACCACTAGTTATATAATGAAGACTTTCCCAAGGATCCTTAATATTAAGCGATACATGTTCTGCAGCAAACTGATTACTTAAACGAAAACATTCCTCCAACGAACATGTAACAACAATTCCTCCATGATGTTGTAGTGAATGTAATGCAGTAGAAGAACGAGATAAACTAGACACTTGTTGCATAATAGACTGGACAACCTTTTCCGCTAATTCCTTGCTGCAAGTTAAAAGAATAGGAACAGCCATTTCATCATGTTCTGCTTGAGCTAACAAATCGGCAGCAATATAGTCCGCACGTCCAGTATCATCCGCAATAATAACTGCTTCCGTAGGGCCGTAGATGCCATCAATACCAACTATACCAAAAACTTCCTTCTTTGCTAATGAAACAAAAATATTTCCAGGACCAACAATTTTGTCCACTTTGGGTATACTTTCCGTTCCATACGCTAGAGCTCCTATAGCTTGTGCTCCACCGATAGCAAAAACCCGAAGATCTATTCCAAGCTCCATCATTACACCACAAGCTGCCAAAGTCACATCTGCAATACTGCCTTGTTTATCAGGAGGACTAACCACTAATAAAGTTTGACAACCAGCAGCAACCGCTGGACAAACAGACATAATTACAGAAGAAGGCAAAGGAGCAGAACCACCAGGTACATAAAAGCCAACTTTCTCAATAGGTCGAATCAATTGTCCTAATTGACCTCCTAGTTCAGTCGTAAACCAAGAAGTTATCGGTTGTTTCCTATGAAAATGCAAAACACGATCTCGAGAGATACGCAAAGAGTCTAACACCTGGGAGTCTATCCTCTTTACACAAGAAAGGATTCTTTCTTTTGAAACTTGAAACGAGTCTCCAGTGTCCACTCCATCTAAAACTTTTGTCCAATGCTGACAAGCTGAGTCTCCATTCTTCCGAACAGACTCTAGTATTCTCTGCACTACTTGTAACGCCGTCAGGTCTTCTCCAAAAAGTTGCTTTATTCTTTGTTGTACACGTGGGGAAAGTTCGGGTTCTTGTAGTGAAGAACGTCTTAGGATAGTCTCTTCAGCTTGTTTTGTCGTATATATTGGAATTGTCGACGACATGAAATAACAATGAATGCCAGAGCAAATCATCTTATTCCTTTATAATGAAGCAAGTTAGTTCACTAGAGAACTGTGCCGAATTGTTACTTTTTGATATTGAGTTGTTAAACTGTAAAGATATATTGGGTGAAGAATAAACAATGCTTGTGACAAAATTGCAAATGGAACAATTTTCGACGAACAATCTTTCCACATATCTATCAACTATTTGCACAGTTCCCCTCAGTTTTCCGAAAACATCGATTACTTTTTAGGCATGAAGGAGTTGAAAGTATCCTTGTTCTTATTCTCAACAACTCGATTCTCCAAAAAGTCTGTTTGCGACTCCACAGCCTCACGAAATGTTTGCTGTAATTTCTTTTGACACTTGTATTTCTCTAGTGCCATCAACATAGCTGCTTCTACGTCCTTATGATAACTTTTACGCATCTACGAAACAGAGGCGTAACTCAATCTGTTTTTCAACTCACTAAGAAACTTTACCTCTTCAATAAGATACTTTTGATATAACTCATCTCTTAAGTTTTGAGCTTGTCGTTTCGTTTCTCGTATTTGTCTTCGATAAGGACGCAAAAGAAATAGTCGTATACGAAAACAATAGTCTCGAATAGTTTGCCAAACTGCTGGATTAGAATTGGTCATAAACACACGGACGATATAAAGAAATCGGTTATTCACGATGAAAGCCAAATTTCATAAGCCTCAAGGCTTTCAAGAGACAACAACTAAGAACACAACCTTAAAAGACAAGGTTGGCGAAAATAAAAATATTGAGGAAAGAATAAAGGATACGAAAAATAACAGAAGCGTCGCGGAAGCTCTGCGTACAAAACTAAAGTCTGCTGGTCAAGCTACCAAAACTACCACAAGTGCTGTTACTGAGGAAAGGCAACTTGTTCGTGAATCTAACGTTGAAAATAACTCCGAAAGTGAAGAAGATTCGCGTCACAAGAATCATAAGAGATTGAATGAAGAACTCTACAGAATGTTAAGGGAGGAAAGAGTGTGTTCCACTTCGAACAAGGAAATTTTGGCGCGTTATGCCTCTCAAGAAAAACTTATAAAGGGTCTCGAAGAATCGGAGACTGAAGATATCATAGCGGAAACTTATGTCTCAGAGAATTCCACGAAGGCTAAACGGTCCAAGTTCAATACTACGAAGCAGTTGGAGAGAAACAATTTGGCCTCCTCTCGAGTCTTGCATAATGAGTCATTCGAGCGAACACTAGAACAATGCCGTTTCTGTTTCGAAAATCTTGCTCACTTCCAGTTGAAACATCTTCTCATCTCTTTTGGAAACTTTACTTATTTGTCTCTTGTTCGTGAAGGCTCGTTGGTGAAGGGTCATTGTTTTATTTCCACAACGACTCATCACGTTTCTAGTCGACAGCTAAGTGAGGAAATCTTCGAAGAAGTTGTGAACTTTAAAAAATCATTGTATCAAATGTTCTTTGAAACAGAGAAGAAGGAAGTGATTTTCTTCGAAACTTGCAAAGACTTGCAACGTCAAAAACAACATCTTGTAATTGATTGTGTTCCACTTTCGAGAGCAGATGCCAGTGAATGTCCAGCCTTTTTTAAAAAGGCTATATTAGAGAGTGAAAGCGAGTGGAGCGATAATAAAAAGTTAATCGAAACAGAAGGTTGGCATGGTCTGAGAAACCGTATTCCAGAAAATTTTCCTTACTTTTATGTACAGTTTGGATCGTCTGGAGGTTATTGCCATGTCATTGAGGACGAACGGAGTTTTCCTTGGAACTTTGGAAGACAAGTCGTTGCAGGAATTCTGAAAATGGACCCTCCATCCTCTCGAATGGCACTAGCGTCATCCTATACAATGGAACAAGATATGGAAAGACTCAAATGGTTTCTAACAAGATACGAGTCTTATGATTGGACTAGACTTTTGGATGAATCACATTGAGTGATATTTCATTGTGATATTCATGTTGAGTGTTCTTTTCATTGTCAAGAGAAGTCGAGGATTACAAGTGACAGTAGGAGCTTGTCGAATGCCAACTTTTTGATAAAGTTTGTTTTCGCATTTTTGATTTGCCACAATGCTGAGTTATGTATAGGAAATCAGTCTACTTGCACTGAAGAATTTGTGTAGTTTATTAGAAAAATGATATTCTTGTGGAATATATCCAATATACAATAGTCAATATTCCAACTCTGGAAGTTTAGCGCACTGTCACTTGCTGTATTCTGGTACGTTTGAAGAACTCCAACTGAGATAATCTGGACGTTCTGCAGCTGTATACTCTGCAATCAAGTCTTCTACAACCTGACGCGAGTTGTCAAATTCTTCCAGACCATCTTGAAACATAGGTTCCTTTTTATAATTGTCAAGGAATGCATTTCTTTTTCTTAACTTATCATATTGTGCCAAGGAACGAGAAAACAGGGACTGTATGCTAGTATGATTCGCCAACATAAGGCCAGATATTCGATGATGACTTTTAAGATAAGGAGACTTCTTAGAAAGAGCAACTTGAATTCCTGTTGGACCCCAGGGAATAAAGGTTGCAAGTTTTCGTTCTCTTATTCTCTGCAAACTTTTATGTACTTGGGCAGGATCAGCTTCTCCTTGAATAACATTGAGAATTGAGATATAACACCCCTTTCGTGTCGAACAGGAAACCATAATATTCTTGGGCTGTAATAATCGCCGCATCACGTCCAAAACAGTAGTTTTTGTAACTTGACTAGTTCCAGCTCGCTCCTCTTCAAGAAGTGTAAGAGGAGTATATCCAGTTACCAAGTAGTGACATTGTGGGGTTGGAATAAGAGATGCTAGCAGTCCAACCAAGTCATTATTCATGTATCCTGGATACCTTAATGTAGACGTGCTCGCTGCCATTACTGCTGAAACAAGAGAGTTAACTTGAGCAAACGTAGGATTTTCCAAGTGAAGACGGTCCACTGCAATCCTATTAAGAGCAGTATTATCTAATACCACGACACAATCTGCATTCTGAGTCAGCCGTTTAAGAGTAAGAATCGAGTTGTATGGCTGAACGACAACATCGCTTGATTCTTGTTGATTAGGAAATACAGAATACGTCTGGACCAGCTTTTTCGGAAATCTTTCATTTAGTTTTTCTAAAACGAACGAACCTAAACCGGAACCTGTACCTCCTGCGATAGAATGACAAAGTACAAAACCTTCGAGTGAGTCTGACCCGTCTGCTTCTCTTTCAATCATATCCATGAGTTCTTCCTCTTTCTCTTCCCCTTGTCTGTAACCGCTAGCCCAGTTGTTTCCTGCTCCCCCACCCACTTGAGAAACAAAAATATTCTCAGGGTTATAGAAGTTACGAAACGTTGAGTTGCGGATTCCATTGATTACTCGTGGTTCCAAGTCAATGAGCAACGCTCTGGGAACGTAGTGGTCGTCATCTGCTTGGTAGAAGAATACATCCTTTCTATCGCCAGTGTCCACGACGGACTCTTCCAAAACACCGTCAGGTCTTATTCCGTGTTCTGCACAGAGTTGGTTCCAAAATTCTGTACCAATCTGGTTACCACACTGTCCTATCTGTAGGGTTATTATCTCTCGAGGCATAATTCAAGTTGGAAAGAGAAACCAAAGCAGAGGACACAGAATCGTGTCCAATAACAATTTGAAAATGAATTTCGCGGGCTATGTCAATCAGATGGTCATGTAACAACTTTCTCTTAGCACGAAATAGAATAGAAAGAATGGTGACGATATGATTTTTTTATGCTAAGAACGTTTATTTTCGCAACAAATGTGGTGTTTCAAAAGAACGATTACAAGTATTTGTTTGGTGACTTGATCCAAGCAACATAGAAGAAATACAAGGTTTAAAACATTATTTCAATTGCTTTCTTGGATGGCGAATCTTATGTTTGATGACCTCCCCTGTCTCCAATGTAAGACCAATGCAGACCCTCAAGTGATTTTGAATAGGAAAACTTAATGCCGGAATGACCATTCCCAATGGCCCAGAATATTTTCACTACAAGTTTCGTACTAAAAACATTAATGTAACTCTTTTCGTTGTTGAATTTCTTTCATAAGAGCAGGAAGTGAACTGTTTCAAGTGATATTAGTACCACCGCTATAAATAAAACAGTAATCTTCTGTTCCATTCTTCTATGTAACAGATTCTATTTCATTCTTCAATACTAAGGGATGACGTAGGGCTCAAATTTCTCATTGTCTTTAGTCCCCTACAATTCTCTTGCTTCTCGTTCAACTACTTTTCTTATGAATATGCAACAATAGGGTCAAGCTTGTAAAGTTCAATGATGCATTCTATTTCTACAGGCACGGTATAAAGTCTCGCAAGACTTAAAAAACGTTAACGGCATTACTACGTTTACTTTCCGAGAATCTATCAGCCATTTACATTAAAAAATATGCTTTCATGATGCAAAATTAGAAATACTAAAAGATTTTCCTCAGTCTTCGTTACTTGCGAAGCTCGTTTAGAAATCCAGTAGTTCCTACTACACAATTTATCAAAATTTCTTCCCGAAATGAACCGATCATCTCAAGTGGTCGTTGTGAGTGGTTGGGCTTTTGCAGTCCTTTTGTTCGGTTGTATAGCAGAGTTGGCATTCGTGTTTCTTTGTCTTTCCTATGTTCCTCCGTCCACTATTCGTGCAAAAGGATTTCTGGCAAGTTGCCTTTTTTTGGCCACAATAGTTATTCAAGTGTCTTCTTGGACCTAAATAGGAGCGTCTCCAGCTTCAAACCCAATTTGTTGTAAATAGCCTGCAGAAAAGGGACGCGTTAAAAGCTCTTAAACTAACTATCTTATCGAAAGTAAGCTTGTTAAGCTATTTCTATGACGACTGACATACAAGCTTAAAGGATTTCTGGTTTCCCTTTTTCTTCTACTTTGTCAGTTTCTTTCTATTTCCTTTCATAGTTGCCTCAACAATAGAACTTTCGACCCCACCGCATACATACTTCTTGCTTACCTTTACTTTGTGGAGAGCAGGCCTTCTTTTCCTCTTTAGAGGATTTGACCATATAGTTGCGTAAGCACTGTGTCGTTTTTTTAGTGTTTTCGATATTTACTCTGCTGTAGTCTAGAGAAACAGTTTGATTGTCGTTTTGTGTATTTTTCTTCTGTTGGATTCTTTGTTTTATTTGTCATAGAATGTTATATGAAGAATCTTTGTGCAGCTGATAATAGAAAACTCAAGTCACAATAAAGAGGATTCAGTGGTATTATATGAATGACAGAGTGATTGTGTCATACCGACTGGAGAATTGTCAATGGTTACATTTTTTTCTATGAAGAAAATCTCACTTTGAAATGTTCTCTTGACATGCGATAATTGTTGTTTCTTGCTCCTTGATTATTTAGAAACTACTCAAAGATGAGTGCTTTAGCGGCGCGACTCTTTCGAAGATACTATCAATATCTTGTCTCCCCATTTGTAACAACGTTCAACAAGCACGGATCTTCTCATATGTGCACACAAAGCAGTTTTCGACTTTGTGGTGGACTTTTGAAGAACGTTCGCGCGTTTGCTAGTAATGTTCCCACCCACTTGAACCAAAAACTGTTGGAAGACGTTGAGAAGAACTTTTGGAATACTCCTTTGTCACAGGTGATGAGTGACAAACCGAGAGAAGCATATATTGTAGAAGGAGACGTGTTAGTATTGGACGCCTTACAACAAATGATCGCAAACAATATAGAGTCGATTCAAGTAGTTGCTTCGAAGACTCCAGAATCTCCTCGATTGGGAGTTTTTAATGAAAGATACTTTCTCCGTTTACTTGTTTCACAAGACAGTTTTGAGTTACAACATCAGAAACTCAAAGAGGTTGTCCAGAAGCAGAGTCACGACATAGTCTGTGGACTATACGAATCTGTCAAGGACAGTGTATATCTTATGGAGAAACACAAGGTACATCATATACCTTTGGTATTGAGAGCAAATCAACCATTAGAAAATATCATGAACAGAGACTGTGCTCAAATACTTTCAGCCAGCGACTTGCTAAATTTTCTCTTATCTCATGGTTCCTTGGAAACCCTTGGTTGGTTTGAACTTGTTGCTGTCAGGGATATTCTAGAGTCCATGAATAGAGAGGCTCAAAACACGTATCACCTTGTAGCCGTCGATGTGAGAGAATCTTTGGCTGATGCATGTAAGAGAATGTTGGATAGAAAAGTGGGTTGTGTCGTATTGGGTACTTGGGAAGAAACCAATCCCTTGAAACCCTATCCTAATTATTGCACTGTTGTTACACAGAGGTAAGCATACGAACTTATTGAAGTGAAAGAAGGAATGACACGTATTTTTAGAGATATTATTGTGCAATACTTAAAGAATGGTGAAAAGGCATTATACTTGCCAATAGCAGAGGCAGTGTCAACTAAACCAGTGAGAGTATCATCGCCAAACTATACGGTATTCCAAGTATTGGAAATGATGTATGAAGATGATAGCCGATACTCTCCTGTCTTTTCAACTGAGGAAGGAGACTCACAGGACTTGACGAGCACTTGTTTGGCGCTGCTTTCTACAAGAGATATACTCACACATTCTCTACTGATGCTTCCAAGTAAATGAATAATGCTTATAAGATGGTCAAGCTGTGCGACCTTTGGTGAACTGTTGTAAATATATACGGTTTATTTACATCTAAATTTTGCACCCAAGACAAGTACATTACCAAAAGACTTGTTTATCCGCTCACAAAGTCATTGTTCACCCTTGAACAAGCAATTCCAACCGCGCCATAAAGAAAGAGCAAGTATTCTAAGCGGACTTTTGTACTCTACTCCAAACGGTTCCTATTATATTTGTATCTTCCTTGAAAATCGAGTTTCTTCGAGGAACTGCAACTGCTTTTAGGTAGTGTTGAAGTGGTTCTTCTTCTTCTTCCTCTGGAATAGGAAATAGTCCAATATCATTTAATACTTTCTTGTCATCCCAAAAATCTAGAGACTGTTCTAAAAGTCTCTCCAAGTCACTATCTGATAGAGAGTAACATAAACGCTCTGGAAACTGAAACGTTTGCATTGCTTGTTGATTCAAACAATGAAATATACCCAAGTTATTTTCTTTTTCAGTCATCAATACGGAAAGTGATCACCACACGATGATCTCCACAAGATGCCACATGGAAAGAATAAGGCGTGTCGTGGGAGATTCGCTTAATCGATTCCGCCTCCTGTCCACGTTTGTGGAGGAAATTTGAAATTTAAAAGCTTTCTCCATTTCCCTTTGTATGAACTATCGTCACTTAGAACCGGAACAGGAAAAGGAGAATACAACTGCCACAAATCTTAATGGTACAACACCCAACACTTCCATTATGGATTGTAGTATTTTTCCGAGGATATTCAAGCAGTTTGTAACTTCCAATACCCTATACCCGACTATCTTGGACTACCACGTAAGTTATTTTTCCCTTGCTTTGTGAAAAACTAATGAGAAGCTAATTTTTCAATTCTCAAAAAGTGTTTATCTCAGAAAACTCACCATTTACAACAAAGAATAATAGATGGGTATAATTCTGGCTCCAAAAGAGGAGACTCCTTAAGCCAAGAACAAGCTGACCCCTTAAGTGAAGAAGAAGAAGAACAGTTACGTTGTGAGATTCGAAACATGATTCTCCATGATATATCGGAAGAGATAACTAAGAGTAGTGTTAGAGAAGTCACCGATGTGCACGACTCCGAATCTCAGCAAATATATATCCATCAAGAAGGAAATGTGGAGAACACTTCAAATATAGAAAAGTCAAAACAGCAAGATATTGGAAAGAAAGAGAAAGAGGAGGACAATCAGAAGTGTAAAGATAACAATAGAGAAAAGTGGATGGACGTTCTAACGGAACTAGGAGAAAACCTCAATACAGATACTGAAGTAAAGATGAGAACTTCTGTAACAAAAGTTGCTCTTAACAAGGGACTGAAAAGTCCTCATAAAGCACTGCCTTCGGAGTGGAAAGTAGATGACTTTGAGTTTGGAAAGCTCTTAGGTGAAGGAAAGTTTGGACAAGTTTACTTGGTCCGAGAAAAAGTATCTAGTTACATATGTGCCCTAAAAATACTATTAAAAGCGCAGTTGCAACAGTCAGGTGTAGAATATCAGCTGCGAAGAGAAGTTGAAATTCAAAGTCGACTGAAACACCCGAATATTCTAAAATTGTTTGGTTACTTTTACAGCAATCGCCGCATATTTTTGATCTTAGAATATGCACCAGGTGGAGAGATTTTCAAGGAACTCAAAAAATGTGGCAAATTTTCTGAGCGACAAGCTGCTTTTTATATCCAAGGATTGACAAAGGCACTTATTTACTTACACTCAAAACATGTCATTCATAGGGATCTCAAACCAGAAAACTTGTTATTGGGACTTTCAGGTGAAATCAAAATTGCAGACTTTGGTTGGTCAGTGCATTCGAAAAGTCAACGAAGAAATACCTTTTGTGGGACAGTTGACTATTTAGCTCCAGAAATGGTTCAACACGAAAAGTATGATTCTGCGGTGGACATTTGGGGACTTGGTGTTCTCTTGTACGAATTTGTTGTTGGTCGGCCTCCATTTGAAGCGAATACAGATCAAGAAACCTATCGACGGATATCCCGAGTAGAATATGAATGTCCAGAATGGCTGTCTGCAGAAGCGAAGAGTCTTCTTTCGCTTCTTCTTGTTAAGGAACCTTCAAGACGTATGCCACTGGATAAAGTATTGAAACATCCTTGGATACGAAAAAATTGTCAAGAACAGTACAGATGAATATCAACAACAGCAGAGTGCTGTAGAGAGAAAATGAACTGAGAAAATCGGAATTTTATGACGTTGGTTATAACTGGCAATCTGCTTCATTTCTCAAGACTTTAAAAAGTAATTGGATAAACTGAATAACAGATCGATATCCAATTCTAGTGCAGAACATGGGTTATTCAAGCCAAAATTTTGCAAGACTTGAGGATGTATCCACCCCAGTACACCGATCTCTCTTTCTCCAAACATGATCAGAGCCCTCCGACCAGGAAAGTATGCGTTGTCTTCACAATTCTTATCATCCAACCAAAAATATTTAGACCCTTTCGAAGTTGCTTTGTTAGGTAGACTCACTACTTTCATTATATGCTCTAATAAACCATGAATGAGTTCAAATCCAGCAGTCGAGCTACAATATACTGCACAAAGACTTCGACGGTTAACTGCTCCAACTTCGTGGTCTCTTTGAATATGGACTGTGTCCGATAATTCAAATAGTCGAATAGGAAGCTTTACCATTCTGTTTTCACGAAGTGTCTTTAGTATTCCTGGAAGCAATGAAAATCGACAGCTTTGAAATTCTAATGTTTTTGGGTTTGCTATCCGAACTGCAGTATTGCCATCATCTGGTCTCTGCATCATATCAAAGTTTTCTGCTTGCGAGACGGTAACCCAAGTTAATACTTCTGTAAAGCCTTGCTGAGCCAATCCTTCTCTGCGCACAAGATCTGAAAACATATTTATGCCTAGCAATCTTCCTTGTGTCACTGTACAAGGAAAACGCTCAGGAAGATTATCATATCCGTAGGCAACTGCTAAATCCTCGATAATATCACAAGTATGAAGAATATCATCGCGATGAATGGGCACTTGTACATGAAGGCTATTTCTTGAATCTTCTTCTATCGTAGCAAACAACTGCATTCGATTGAGAAGTTCTACGGCTTTATCCGGTAAAAGATCCACACCCAACATTCTCTTGGCACGCTCCAACTCTAACTTGAATGAATGCAGCTCCATATTGGGTGAAATCATCTCTTGACTGGACTGATCAACAGACATTGTTTCAATAATTACAGGTTCTACAAAGGGCTCTTCACAATATTGGCTAATAATAGCAACAATCGTTCGTATGACCATTTGAGTTTTTGTCCAGTCAGTTCCGGTGCAATCCACAAATATGTTCCGTGTTGAAAGTGTAACTTTCGATAAGTCCCCATTGATTACTGGAGGAAGAGATAAAATACGATTCTTTGCATCTAACACTACAGGAAACCTATCAAACTGACGAATGAGTGACGTATATTTTCTGAGCTGAGGATCTCGGTCGTAATACTCGAAAAGTTGATCAGCTCGAAACTCTTTATCCAGTCCCAAAGGTACAAACGTTATTTCTGTTGGTCGTAAAGCATCATACACAAAAGGTGGCTCTACTTTGTCCAAATCGTGCAATCCTATGGAAACCAGAGACCGCTGTCTACAAATGTTTTGGTGAAGTTTCTCCTGAAAGTCGATAATACTCTGATATCGTAAACGATTCAAGACAACACCTCGTATAACAGCGGACAGCATATATTGCCTTACTTTCTGAACTGCAGGCTTTATGATTAAGCGTATAGGACTAGAGGATAAACTTGAAGAGAACTCTAGAGGCTTATCGATTCCTCGAAATACTCTAAGAGCTTTGATGATCCCATCCGCAGACAGCAGATCAGTCCTGTTGGCTGGAACCTCTATCTTGAACACTTGGTGTTGTTCTTCCTTGCCGTCTTCGTTAGGCAATGTGACTTCTATTCCACTCCTTGCCCTTGAACCAAAGGTCCAAGTTTCGTAGCACACTTCGTCCACTTCTAAGCCGAACTCATAACAGATACTTTCAACATCTTCGTCACTATCTATTCCGGGTACAGAACGCAAAAAGAGCTCTCGATCCACAGTAACTGTGGGCATTTGCCAAAAATAAGAAAAACGAAAACAATGTCCCAAAAGGATAATGTAAGGATCTCAAATGTTGCATAGGATTGAACGATGTTTAAGGTCAAACTATCTACTTCACTTTTACGAGCAATAAATGAGAATTCAGTGAAAGTGCTATTGATATCGTTCAACTGAAGATAGTCTTTTGTGTAAAGCGACATCCTTGATAAAAGGTCTGTTGGCTATCATTGAATGAAGGTGAGACTTTTTTGGAAGACATTACTGAGGCAAGAGAGATATAAGAAGCATTCAGCTTATGACCTCTTTTATGCAGTAGAGAGAATCTCAATACCCAAGCTCAACAAGTGTTCTCATTCAGATGATGATTGCAAGCGAAGAAAGCTGCCAACTCTACAATGAAAACTACCGCTTACCAAATCAAACTTTCGCCGATTTCATTTGGGGAGTTGTGCGACGATGCCCAAGTCATTGTATATTTTGTATGAAAGTGCTGCAGGGTTCAGCTTGTTTTATGTGGAAAACTTTGAGAGCATTGCCTCCAACACCGAAGAATTTCAAGACGCTTTGAGTGAATTTGTTCGCTTCTCCAAGTTGGCAAAGCTAATTGCTTTCTCTCCTTTTACGACAGCCGAGACAGCCTTTGATAATTTATCCAAACTCAGTGAATATGAAATAACAGCTAATCTCTCAAACTTCTTAGATAGCAATTTGCCAAAAGTGAAAGAAGGAAAGAAACCAAAGTATGAATTGGGAGTTTTTGACCATAAGCTAGCTGCTGTTATTCACGAACAGCTCAAACTTCCCGCCACGAGTTCTGAGAAAATTACGGAAATTATTCGAAATATTAGACTACACTTTGAACGCTTCGTGGACCACTTGAGAACAAGTGATGTAATCAAGGCTCAGCTTGGACTGGCTCATGCATATTCTCGTTCCAAAGTGAAGTATAATGTAAACCGCGCGGACACTATGGTTGTGCAGTCCATAACGCTTCTAGACCAACTGGACAAGGATATCAATACATTTGCTATGAGAGTGAAGGAATGGTATTCTTGGCACTTTCCAGAACTGGTGAAAATAGTTTCCGATAATATTGTCTATGCACGTTGTGTTCAATTGATTGGAGACAAGTCGACGTTGTCGGAAGACAGTTTGACAGATTTGGAAAAGTTAGTGGGTGATGAACAGGTTTCTAAGAATATCCTTGACGCAGCTAGAACTTCTATGGGTAAGTAATTCATTTCCTTCTGTGGTTAGATAAACAATTTTTTGTAGGAACTGGTATTGAAGAAGTTGATTTGATTAATATTCGTTCATTTGCAGCTCGTGTTGTGAAGCTTGCTGAGTATAGGAAACATCTTCACGATTATCTTATTCGTCGTATGAATACTATTGCACCCAATTTATCAGCATTATTAGGAGAACAAGTGTCCGCTCGTTTGATTGCACATGCTGGTTCTCTCACGAATCTTGCAAAGTATCCAGCATCTACTGTGCAGATATTGGGAGCGGAGAAAGCTCTCTTCCGTGCTTTGAAGACCAAAGGGAAGACACCCAAGTATGGCCTGTTGTTTCATTCCAGTTTTATAGGTAAAGCAAAACAAAAGAACAAGGGACGCATTTCTAGATATCTTGCGAACAAGTGTTCGATTGCTTCCAGAATTGACTGTTTCTCTGACGTTACTTCGGATATCTTTGGTCGGACCCTTCGAGAACAAGTTGAAGAGCGTCTGAAATTTTATGAAACGGGATCTTCTTCACAAAAGAATACGGATGTCATGAGAAAAGCCATGGATGAGTTGAATACGATTGTAAAAGAAAGCCATGAAGACCTAGAGAGAGCTGTTGATGAGACAGATGTAGAAAAAGAGGAGAATATGGAAGAAGATAATGAAGAAAGAGATAGATCCCATAAGAGTAAAAAGGACAAGTCAAAGAAGAAAGATAAGGAGAAAAAGAAGAAACACAAAAGGAAGAAGGAGAAGATGGACACTGACGAGTCTAATAGTAAAGAAAAGAGGCATCATAAGAAAAAGAAGACAGACAAAACCTTGAAAGAGAAAGAGAAACAGGACAAAATGCAAATATGAAAATATATTCGAAACGGAAAATATAATAAAGCTTTATCATTTGAAAACATTTTGCTCAAAATTTGCTTTCAAAGATAACTTTCCACGTATCATATCTGCAGCTTTCTCTGCAATCATAATTGTAGGAGCACCTGTTTGACCTCCAGGAATACAAGGCATGATAGATGCATCCACTACTCTTAGACGTTCTACTCCCATGACTTGGAGATTGGGATTGACAACTGCTTGTTTATCCGTTCCCATACGACATGTACCAACGACTGCATTTGCAGTATGACAAGTACTTGAAATATAACGAATAATGTCTTCTTTCTTCGATAATCCAGTCGATGGGAAGCATTGTTCACCAAAATACGATGCAAGAGGCGAAGCATGTACAAGTTTCTGTGACAGTGAAATGCCTCGAAGAAGGGTTTCTAAATCTTCTTGTGATGAGAACCAACCAGATTCAATAATTGGGAGCATCCTGGGATCTTTTGACTGGATTGTCAACCTACCTCTAGATTTAGGACGAATAGCAACTGATTGGATGGTAAAACCTGAAGGTCGATGGGAACGATTTTTAAAAAACATGCCCTTTGATGAATAGTCACTCAAAGAGAAGTATGGATCGGCTTCAGAAAAAAATGGAATAAACCGAAGTTGCAAATCTGGATCATTGAATATTGGATTCGTTTTCAAAAATGCGCCTGCTTCACACATGGTGCTTGTTAAGGGACCTTTTCCAGCTACAACCCAGGTCAAAATTGTCTTCCAATCCTTTCCAGTCTCTTCTGTATAATACAAATCTCGATGTTTTCTGTCTTCTGAGGGATTGGGTGACTTGCATGAGAACAAAACTGCACAGTGATCCTGCAAATTTTTACCAACTCCATGGAGTGGCATAACAACAGGAATTCCAAGTGGAGCGAGTATATCCGGTGGTCCTATTCCAGATAACATCAATAGTTGGGGACTCCCATATGCTCCAGCGGAAAGAATCACCTCTTTACGTATCATGGCTCGTTCTCTCTCACCATTTGCATTGATATATGAAACACCTAGAGCACGAGGAGCGCTTCCCATTTCTCTTGCAAAAAGGATCTTCTCCACATGCTTTTGAGTTTCAACAAAGAGATTTCTTGGGCCTCGAACTGGATGTAAATAAGCAGGTAGCAGGTGAAACACGTTTCCCATCAGCCTGAGTCACTTGAAAAAAGCCTATTCCTTCTTGAGAATGTGACCAGTCATTGAAGTCTTTGTTACAAGGAATATCCAGAGTCTGACCAGCAATCACAAAGGCTTGTGACATTTCATTGGGACTAGGAAGATCGCTCACTTTCAAAGGGCCACCTTTACCATGATAGGCACTAGCACCTCTTAAATTATTTTCTGCTTTTAAAAAGTATGGCAAAACGTCTTCAGGACCCCAGCCAGTAGCTCCACTTTTTTCCCAATCTCTATAATCATTAGCACTTCCTCGGAGATATAACGCGACTGATATCGTATGACTTCCACCGAGCACCTTCCCTCTTGGCCATATTACTTTTCTATCAAATAGTTTCTCTTCGTTGGCTGATTGATACTTCCAATCCAAATCGCTTCCAACGAGGTATGGAAAGCCCATCGGAACATGTATGTAAAAGTTGGAATCTTCCTTGCCGGCTTCCAGCAAAAGGACCGTAGAACTTCTATCCTCTGAAAGACGAGAAGCAAGAACACAACCTGCGGCACCACCACCAACAATTACATAGTCGAACTCTCTCGAACGATCAAAACCATTATGGACATCATTTTCCAGAGAGGCTGCCACAGGCACTGTGCTAATATATTGTTTATCTTTCCAAAAATAAGCGCGCAAGCTTTTTTTACGTTTCAGCACTTTTAGAAAAGCTCTTTTCCATCCTTTCCTGTCGACCTTTGATGACTTACAAGTTGGTAAACAACAACACGAAATAAATGAGGTCTTCATGAGATTCATCTGTTCTTCCTTGTGGGGAATTTAAACCATTTGTATTGTTTTGCTGCTAAGGAATAACGTAGCCAACCAAATAAACAAAGGGTTGAAAAAAGAGTATTCTTGTAGTTTTTCAACCGTATCTTTGATCAGCATTCACATCCAACGCAACCACCTAACGATAATAACAAAAATGTTCTGTTTTGTGTTCTAATTGCTTTCTAAACGAGAGTAAATTTTCTCCAACAGTTTGCATCAGCTTCTGATGCAACAAGTGTCCTCAATTTACCTTCATTTTGATTGATAACTGGTAAAATTCCTTCATCTATTTAATGGCAGTGATGGCCGAGCGGTTAAGGCGACAGACTCGAAATCTGTTTGGGTTTCCCAGCGCAGGTTCGAATCCTGCTCACTGCGATTCACCGATGGGTATTTTTTTTTCTGGCGGGATTCTGAACATTTCTTTCTAGAGAATGGCGTTGAATGGAGAGAGTACTCTAAAGGCGAGCGTGACTGTTTATGGAGCGTCAAGTTCAGGAATCGACCCAAAATATTTGCAGGTTGGACAGGAGCTTGGGAAGGTTTGTTTCTAGACCTCCTTAATGCTTTTCAAACAATCTCTTTTTTAGGCCATTGCCAGGAAGGGCTGGAGACTTGTCAACGGTGGTGTAAAGTCAGGTATGATGAAAGCTTGTATAGACGGTGCCCTTTCTGTTGGTGGACGTGTTAGTGTTGTTATACTGGACAAATTTGTGAACAAGGCCTATCCACTTCCTAGCGAAGTTCGTATTGTCGACAATATGACAGAAAGGAAACTTGGCCTGATGGAATTGAGTGATTTAATTGTAGTCGCTCCTGGTGGTATGTTTATCTTTACATCGGGGTTGTTACGTTATCAACTTGCTTCATCATAGGTTTTGGCACTTTGGAAGAAGTCTTTGAAGTTCTCTCTTGGAATCAGTTATCGCTCATTAATAAGCGTGTCATATTTTTGAATGCGTTCCATTTTTTTGATTTTCTGAGAGCGTTTCTGGCGAAACTTGAGAGTGAACACTTCATATCAGAAACCAGCAAGTCATTTTATTTTTTTGTCGATAGTGTTGAAGTACGTACAACTTGCTCATTTGTTTCACATGAGCATCTAACTATATCAAAGGAGACCATTAACTTATTGGAAAAAATTTCACTGTACAAAAATATAGAAGCCAATTCTTTACATCATGAAAAAGAAGAGGTTAGTTGTGTCTTTTACCCAATATATGAATATCATACTATTTGCCGTCTAGCCCTCCTTTATGTCAGAGTGGAATGATGTTGACAAAAGTGAAGAGGTGGAAAAGTACCTCTCCCACGACTTGGAGAAATCTTCCAATGGAACCACTTTTCAAGATCCTTGGAGTCCGACCAAGCTTGGTGCTCACCAGTTTTTGGATTTCGTACGTGAAACAAGTCGTCAGTTTGTAGAGTCAAGGGGATGGGAAAGCTATAATACTCCTCGAAATGTATTGCTAGCAATGGTATATCAAGCTGTTTCTAATCGTTTGTACCTTACATTAGTTTTAGGTCGGTGAAGTAGGTGAACTAGCAGAATGTTTTCAGTGGAAAGGAGAAGTATCTGTTGGTTTGTCTGAATTCTCAGCAGATGAAAGAAAGCATATTTCTGAAGAAGTTGCGGATGTATTTATATATCTTACTCGTTTGTCAGAAATTTGTGGCATTCATTTGGAAGATGCAGTTATACGTAAACTTGAAAAAAATGAAGAAAAGGTACGACTCATTGAGTATCATTTCTGTTCTATATTGACTCTTTTCAAGTATGCAACAGATAAATGTCATAAGAATTGATCAATTTGGAAAGAGTCACTTTTTGCTTTTTGGACGACCCTTACCACCTCTCGGTCTTGCAATTACAGCTGGAGCAGTTTCTTCGTCTGAATCCGTTGAAGCTGATAATTCATCGCTTTTCGTATATGATTCTTCAGAGTCATCTATAAATATTTCCATTTCTGCATTTGTAACACTTGTGATATTTGGCTGGTCTACCGTTTTTTCCTTGTCTTCCAAAGCACTTTGTTTCGCAACTTGTTTCCAAACAGTCGTAACACCTTGAACTTGTTCATTCAAAGGAAATGACTTTTTCGTCGTTTCTACTTGAAGAGGTTTCACAGAAGCCACTGCATTTCTACTATACGTATCCTTGAGAGCCTTTTCAAGTTGTACTGTAACTTCAGTCGCTCTCAAATACGCATAAGAAGCATTTTTGAAAATCAACGATGTCTCAATGGACGCACCTCCAGCTTTACGAAAAGCACAAATTTCTTTATGGGCATTGACTGCTATGGATAGGGTACCTTCCATGACAGATTCCTCTTGTATACTGGGATCTATTGCAATAAGGTCACCATCCAAGAAAATACCAAAGGACACAGATATTGGCAAATGATGGACTGTTAAAGGTACTGGCTCGCGTTCATCGATCCCGTGAATGAATACGTCTTTCCCAACGACAGTTACAACCGGTTTTCGCATATGCAGTAGCGATGCCACTGCAGCCATGCAACAAGCGTCCAATACGTTTCCACAGTGATCAAGGACGTGAATATCTACTCTTATTGCCCAGACTTGTACACCTGCGACAATACAAAGCGTTTCTGTGTCTATTGCTTGATTTTCTCGTATTATTTGTTGTAGGAAGCGCACTATTTCAGCTGCTTCCTCCAACGTTGAGGACGTTCTTCCAGAATAAAGGTATTCAAGCATTAAATTTTCACTTGCCATTGGTGATAAGTCGACAGAGAAAGTAACAAAGCCCTCAGCAGGCCTATCTATAGTTGGTTCTACGACCTCTGCGATGGCGGAAGAAAATACTTTGGTCTTTCCCAAACGAACCGTCACTGTACCATATTGTGAACCAAATTCAAAGTTTACAAGTCTTGCTTCATCGATCTTTCGACCATCTACTCTAATTCCTGCTTGTAGGGCTTCCAAAGCAAAGTTTTTCTCCAGCAAGGACAAGGGCTCATCGCGCATAACTAATCAATTCCTTAAAAATTGATGGAGTAATAATTCCAAAGGAAGGATACAGTTCAACTACCGTAGAAGAATAAGATTAGTCGTCTTTATGTGCTAGAGAAACAAAATGCTTGTTTCTTGTGTGCAACTGCATTATTTGTGCTTTTTGTAAATGTTTCTCTGGTAGAAAACTTATATACAATGTTGCGCAGGTCACTTCAACCTGATGGGTTAACCTAGTTGAGATAATTGGTTTCCACTACAGAAATAAAACTTCTTCTTTGTATAGGTACAGAAAATAGTTTGAAAGAGTTATTCTATATCACATTTCTTTTTTGCAATGGTTCTTGAAAATTATTGTAGTTTTATAATTTCTTTCATTTGCACTGGTTATATCTTCGGCAGCTGTTACTAACAATTGTAAGAAAAGTCTAGTTATCATATGCTTTAATGCAGATCATTGACCAAGGCAAACAATGATGGAGTTTGGTTCTAATATTTTGGTTTTTGTCCTTCATTGTGGCAAAGTGTCAAGACATCTAAGAATACATGACGAATACTTATGCTTGTTGTAACGAGGCTGACTTTCTTGAAAACCTCTAGGAACAAACTCAACTTCTTCTCGAGATTCTTTGGAAGCAGGAAAAAACAACGATGTTTCATCGACAAAGGACAAGAGCTTTATCGAAGTGAAGAAGAAAAGCAGACACTTGTTCAACAACTGAAGGAAAAAGCGAGAGAGTTAGGGATGGGCCCGGTTACTATTACAAGTGCCAAACCCTCCCAGCGTTTACCAAAGTTTCTAAAGTGGATAGAAGAAGGGTAATTCTCGTTCCAGTCGTCATTATTTTTGTTTGACGTTTTCCTCTTTGTTATAGTCGTCACGGAGAAATGCACTATTTGGCAAGAGAAGACCGTTTAGAAAGGAGACGAGATCTACAGAAAGTATTGCCTGGTGTTCAGTCCATAATAGTATGCTCTTTATTTTTTTGGCCTGGCAGAAGAGGGTTCACAGCTATACGAGAAGATCCAACTCGAGGGGACATCAGCTGCTATGCTTGGGGAAGGGACTATCACGATATTTTTTGTGACAAGTTACAGAAATTGGCAGAATTTGCTCTTGACAAGGTATTTAGTTGTTTAAATATCGTTTTATTCTAATTCTTTCAAGGCTGGTGGACAAGGCAAGTGGTACGTTGACACTGGTGCTCTCATGGAACGTGATCTAGGAGAGAGGTCTGGTTTGGGCTTTATCGGCAAGAACACCATGTTGATACATCCTCGCCTTGGTAGCGGCTTCTTTTTAGGAGAAATATTAACCACTTTGTCTCTTCCAGTTGATTCTGCTCCAAAGAAAATGGTTGGTTGTGGTAAATGTAGACGTTGTCAGGCGTCTTGTCCTACAGGGGCGTTGGATGAAGACTATAGAATGGATGCTCGCAAGTGTATTAGCTATTTGACCATCGAATTGAAGGGAAGTATCCCGGTTGAATTGCGCCCACTTATGAGGAACAAAATATATGGTTGTGATATTTGTCAGCAAGTATGTCCTTGGAACAAATTCGACTGGCAAGAAAGTATAGGGAAGAGTCCTTTGTTTGGATCTCCTGACCCTGAAGTCACAACCCCTAAACTTATTGAATTGATACAGATGAGTGAAGAGGACTTTCGGAAGCGTTTTGAGAAAACTGCTATACAAAGAATTGGACATTCAAGACTATTAAGAAATGTTGCCGTTGCATTGGGTAACTCTGGAGATGTCACAGTCCTTCCTGTATTGAAGGTAAAGTATAGCATCACTAACAATGCTTTCTGCGCTGAAGAGCAATTTGTAGAAACTTTTGAATTCTGGACAGGATAGCCTGGTGGCTGAACATTTGAAATGGGCAATTGATCAATTGGAAAATTCTGCACAAAACGATCAAAATAGTAGCAGTTTAGTCACAAATTCTCATTGATAGTTTTGTTCATGACTGTACATTTCTGTGAAATTGTATAACAGCAAGAGAGGTTTAGTTTGGATGAGGAGCACTAGTTTTTCGAATGAGGGAAATCTGTATTGTTGACATGATAAATACGAAATGATTATTTCTTCCCAACTCTGGAAATATATACATTTGCCAAAACTCTCTTCAGCCACGTGCTTTCTTTTGTGTTTCTAAAATTCTTTTGCGTAAAGGCTTATATAAGGATTCTGTCGAGAATCAACATTCAATATTCTGTAGTCTATCAACTACTTGTAGTAAAAGGAACGAGACACTACTTCAGCTTCACTTTTCACTGATTATAACCAGAACTGATGAAATTAATGTGCTGTTTGACATATTGGGTAAAACTTGCTTTTTCAGTCAGAATTTCGACAACGATTAAGAGAGGAAATGCTTATAGAAATTTTGGAAAATGAAGAATCTCGAAATTTTGATGTGAGGAAAGGAAACTGTTAAAAAATTTCATTTGAGTTCAAAGCTGTTATTTGATTGTTCATATTGCCATCGAACCAAGATTATTGTAATTCTTGATCTTCAATCCTTCTTATTGTAAACAGAACGTCTATCCAACTATCAGCACAAGTTTTTATATCCTTAGGTCGTAAAGTCAACCTACTTATGGTAGATCACTTCAAAAACAGTATTTTTGAGATAGCTTGCTTTCATTTATCTTCAAAAAATGAAAGGTTGAACTCACTTCTTTCTGAGATATCATAGTTTAAGAAAGATATATTCCAGTTTCTTACACTACCACTCTTTTAGACAGTCAAAGCTCTTTCAAGAGATCAAACAGTGCTCTTAGAAAAGTATTTTCACTCTTGCAAATTCATGGATATTTCTATATCGTTTTGCGGTACCCAATTATGAGTCCATGTTGTATAGAATAGAGTAACTCGAAGCAGTTTTAAGTACTGTTCTTATATTACAGTAAATGAATGACGTTTTCTTCAGTTGATTCAACCAAACGATACGTGCGTTAGAAATGCTCTGAATACACAAGATATGAATATTTATTTTTGAGAAGGAAAATAGAACACTTTCAAGTATGAGGATTNTTTTTCACATAATTTCTCAAACCAGCAAGAACCTTGACTTGCAAAAAAGTCTCNTCGATACCCACTTGCTGTAATACACCCAAACTTATGAATCCAATGTCTCGCTCTGAAAAAGTCCAAAGGCATTCGTAACATTTNCTNGCTTCCTCCTCNGTTAAATGACAATATAGTTTCA